CAATCCTACTTCCGTAGTGATACTGCCTCGGAAACCCAAGGAGGGGTCGCTATGAGTCGGGGCCGACTCGACGGCACATAACAACAACAACAACAATATCACAGGGGGAGCTCTGGTAGCATAATGCCTAAGGCACTTCACTGCTAACCAGAAGGCTAGAGGTTCAAACCCACCTGCCACTCCTCGGAAGGAAGTTGGGCAATCTACTTCCATAGTGATACTGCCTCAGAAACCTAAGGAGGGGTCACTATGAGTCCAGTCCAACTCCATGGGACATAACAACAACAACAACAACAACAATATCATAGGAGAGAAAAAAGTTATGCCAGATATAGAACATCATGAGAGAAAGTACCCAAATGCAATTTCAGAGATAACTGGATTATGAGCTTGAGCCCCCAGATTAATGTCAAAGCAAGAATATAGAGAATCCATTTCAAACTGCACAAGTTTGTAAAGCTGCTTGAGGGCCTTTCTGGGACAGCACCAATGTCATCTACATTACGACTGTATTAGCCCTCCCTTCCTTCATGGAACATTCATCATTTTGCTCAAGCTTGTTTTCTTGCCTTCCCTTGTAGAAGCAGTATAATCATTTGAAAAGAGTGAAAATCATGAAACTGACAACAGGTTCAAAGCCATCCTGTGGGTTTTCACTTTAAGAAAACAAACCATAATTCTGCAGAAGCATTTCTCGTCACATACCCAAAAAGTGCCAGCAGGAGGGTTGTGGCTGCCAAGTTCTCCCGGAAAGTAAAAGCTGGTAACTGGAAGGCAACAATAACGGCAACACACAGGCAGACCGAAATCAAGTAAAAGAGCTGAGAAAAAAAAGTGGGGAGGGGGAACTGTTAGATCAAATTAGTATGTTTATCATTAGCTACATATCTTGAACTTTTCCTTCCAACTTCCACTTGAATTTATTTCCTTAACAATTATTTTGCAAATTAGAAATTTTGCAGCAGTTGAATTAGTCCTGAGAATCACCCACACCCATCTTCTTAGGGAAGTATTCTCTAGAAACCACCCTGCTACTGCCATAGAGTTGATTCTAATGGTAACTCATGGTAACCCCGTGTATTACAGAGTAGAACTGAGATCCATAGGATTTTCTTGGCTGTAGTCTTTACTGAAACATATTGCCAGTCTTTTCTTCAACAGTTCTGCTATGTGGGTTCAAACCACTAGTCTTTACATTAGTGAAAAAAAAAAAAAAAATCAACTCACTGCCATGGTGTCAGACCCAACTCATAGCAACCCTTCCTTGGGTTTCTGAGGTGGTATCACTACAGAAGTAGTTTACCCAACTGTCCTTTCAAGGAGTGGCTGGTGGGTTTGAACTACAAGCCTTCTGGTTAGCAATCAAATGCCTTAGGCACTATGCCACGAGAGCTCTAGTACAAACTGTTTGCATCACCTAGAGACCTTATAGGAACCCAGACATGTACAATTAAGCAAGACTTCCTCCACATTTAAAATTAGAACAGATTCTTTACCCTGGCCTACAAACCCCTGGGTCTACAATCCCCTGTGTGGTACTCTCTTTCTTTCTGCTGAACCTCACATGTGAAATTCCCGGAGAAAGACAAGCATGACCACTTTGGATGGCTCCAGCTCACCAATCTTGTTCTTCCCTTGGTGCTGTTGGCTACAACCATTCATGAACAATGTCACCCACATGGTTGTCCTTTTCTTATTTTTCATATCTCAGCTTAATGTCATCACCTTGGAGATCTTGAAGAATCTGTTTTAAAGTTACCATCCATCACATTACCTATTTGAATTCTAATGACTGATTATACCTTGTGTATGTAGTTCGATTGTGTCTTTGTTTCTTAACTGCTTCCTCTCATAATATAAGTTCCATGAGGTGAGAGACTTCCTCCACAATTTTCATTGCTTTATGCCCAACACCTCAGACATGCTTTGGTCCAAAATAGAGCCTCAAAAATATCTGTTAAATCAGCAACTGAATAGACTAAACAGGAGATGATTGGATAAAGTTGAAACAAGAGTCAACCTAGAACAAAATAATGCCTCCTGTCCTTAAGCAAACATCATAAGGTGAATAAGCAGTAGGTTTGGTGGATGGGATAAGGGGATAATAAATAAACTGAGAATTATAGTTTTGGATATTTGGAGACTTTGGATGCACTTAATGTCCTGGAAATTTTTGCCATTCATGTGTGCTCATTCCCAGAGTGTTTCCTTCTCCAATTTTCTCTGGGAAGACGTAAGTCATTAGATATCATTAAATGGCAGATGTGGGAGAGTAAAGAGGCCAGCAGCAATGTGTATGGCCCTGGGAACATAATTGAGCCAAGAGTCAGAGATTGACACTGCAAGACATATGACCCTCTCTCTTGCCTTCAAGTGTGTTCCTCTGTAAAGTGAAGGGCCTATAAAGTAAGACTCCAGTGTTTCTCATCTTTATTTTTTTTACATTTTTTCTTTTTAAATTGTGATTTGGGTGGGTGCAAGTTTACAGAGCTAATTAATTTTTCATTCAACAATACATACACAGTTTGTTTTCTGACATTCTTTGCAATCCCCACAATGTAATAGAACTCTTCTAATTTCCGCTCTCTGTTTACTGTTTCCATCCATCTTTCTTTCCTGTCCCTTCCTGCCTTCTTAGCTTTATACCTCATACTATTTATAAAACTAATTCAAGATGGATAAAAGACCTACATGTAAAGTATAAAACTATAAAGATTATCAAAGGAAAAATACAGAAAAATTTAAGGGCCCTAATAGCTCTGATGGTGTAGGGTCTAAGTCATTTGACTGCTAACCAGAAGGCTAGTAGTTCAAAACCACCAGCCCCTCCTCAGAAGGAAGGTTGGGCAATCTACTTCCTTAGTGATACTGTCTCGGCAACCGAAGGAGGGGTCGCTACGAGTCGGGGCACACAACAACAACAACAATAGCATAGTGCCTAAGTCACTTGACTGATAACCAGAAGACTGGTGGTTCAAACCCACCAGTCACTCCCTCAGAAGGAAGGTTGGGCAATCTACTTCCATAGTGATACTGTCTTGGCAACCCAAGAAGGGGTCGCTATGAGTCAGGTCCAACTCGACAGCACATAACAACAACAACAAAAACAATTTATGGTACAAATAAAGTATCAAACATAAGCAAAAATGTACATTGATAAGTTAGATGATAGCAGTCTTCTAAAAGTGACATTCTTATTCACTTCAAAAGACTTCAAGAGAGAAGCTAAAGATTAGGAAAAAATATTTGGCAATGACATATCAAACAAGGGTTTTATCTCTAAGATGTATAAGAAACTTTAACACCTCAACATCAAAAAGATAAACAACCCAATTAAACATGGGCAAAGGACATGAACAGACACTTCACCAAAAAACAAGATATTCAGATGGCCTACAAGCACATGAAGAAATATTTGTGATCAATAGCCATTAGAGAGATGCAAATCAAAATGACAATGTGATATCATCTCACTCCAGTATTAGTAGCAAAGTTCAAAAAAACATAAAAACAACAATGAAGTGGTGAAGGTGTGGAGAGAATACAACATGCATACATTTCTGGTGGGACTATAAAATGATGCAACCATTGTGGGGAATAGTAAGCACTTCTTTAAAAAGTTGGAAATAGAAATACCATATGACCCAGTGTGGTAGTTAAGGTTGTTGTTAAGCTGGACCTGGTTGAGTGGCTGGGCTGCTGGATGTAGTTATTCCCTGTAATGATGCTATCAATCAACTCCCTGGTGGAATCTTCCACAAGCAGCTGAGTAGCTGCTTTAGGGGTGTGGTTTGCTTCTTGTATTTAAAGAGAAACTTTGGGTTTGCTCTCTAGCCTTTTGGCATGCTTGAACCCTGCATGTAGCCACGTCATTGTTTAACAGCTTCCCATGCCCTGCCAATCTTGGGACTTCTTCTGGACTTGAATTAGTGGCCTGTCATGTTGTTTGATAACATTGGGACTGTGCCTTTGTACTTGTCAACACTGGGCTTGTCAGCCTCAGCAGCCAGGAGCTGCCTGAGTGAAGAAAAGTATCCAGTTTCAGTGGCCAGGAGCAGGAGGCAAAGCTTAAGCCCAAGGTTGAGGGGCTTGCACCCAGCCCCTAGAGCTTGGTACTTTGAACTCAAACTTAAAGCCTCCAAAATTGTAAGAGAATAAACTCCTCTTTGTTCAAGTCATTCCATTTGTGGTATATTCCTGTCAGAGTGGCACTAGGTAACCAGAAAACCAAGCAGTCCCAATTCTAGGTATATATTTTAGAGAAATAAGATCTGTGACATGACCAGATATATGCAACATTATTCACAACAGCAAAAAGATGGAAACAACTTAAGTGCTCATCTAAGGAATAAACATTGGTACAGAAACACAATATTTAAGAATAATGGAGAATTCGTGAAACACTTTACAAAGTGGATGAACTTGGAGGATGTTATGTGAGTGAAGTAAGTCAATCACAAAAAGACAAATATTGTATGATTCCATTATTATAAAAAAACAAGGAATGGTTTACATGCAAAAAGAAATATTATTTAATAGTTACCAGGGATGGAAAGGGAAGGAAAGGAAAATTAAGTAGGTGAGAGACACATATTAATATGGGTGAAGTGAAAGGCAATATACAAATAGTGGGTAACCAGCACAATATCACTAATGAAAAGTTAGACATGGAGAAATGCATAAGAGTTACACACAATGAAGGTAAATGATATTACACACACACACACACACACACAACCCTGAGCTCACTGCCATTGAGTCATTTCCAACTCATAGCTACCCTCACTGGGTTTCCAAGGCTGTAAATCCGTACAGATGTAGGTAGCCTCATCTTCCTTCTGTGGAGCAACTGGTGGGTTTGAATAACTGACCTTCCATTTAGCAGTCAAGTGTCTTATCCACTACACTACCAGAGCATACACAGTTCTGTGTTATCAGCAATAGCAAATATTAATCTATGAGTAGATACATAGGTTAACAGGCAAGTTAAGGAAAGGGTGGGTAAATGAGACTATACCCATAACCATATATAGGTTACATACATGGAAACAATTAGTCCAGGGGACTAGTAGACCATGTGAACATCAGGCTCCACTACTCTAAGACACTACTCTGACACTACTCTGAGACAAAAAGAACAAGATGGAGTCCAGCTACTAATGTCAACCACTCTGAAAGGGATCACAATAGTAGATCCTGGATAGAGTGGGAGAAAAATGTGGAACAAATCTCAAAATAATAATAAAAAAGATCAGATTTATTCATCTACTGAAGACTAGATTTACTAATCTACTGAAGATTATGGCACTTAGTCACTCTTGCAGTAATATATCAGACAGTGTTTCACTACCATTTAAAATGTTTTCACTGGCCAATTCTGTTGGATATAGGGTCACTATGAGTCAGAGCCCACTCAATGGCACCTAACAACAGCAGCAATCACTCTTCAGGCCAGAAACTGAATTCACTTCTGTGGCTCAACATTCAGTCAACCAATAGACAGTCCTACAAAGTGAAAAATAACACCAAGAAGGTTGCACCTCTTAGAAAAACAAACATAAGAAATCCACAGGGCAGGATTTACCCAGAGGCAAAGCTCAGAAGGCAGGGATAGATAGGAAAGAAGGACAAAGACAAATGGCAACCCCAGGGAAGAAGTGAAAAGAGTGTGATTGCATTGTGGAGATTGTAATTGATGTCACAAAACAAAATGTATATTAACTTTTGAGTGGAAAACCAATGTATTCTGTAAACTTTCATCCGAATCACAATAGAAGTTAGTTAAAAAAAAAAAAAAAGTTAGAAAAAGCAATAAAATAAG